GAGATAAAGTTGTGTGGCCCTATGCATTTACAATGGATGTACCCAATTAAAAGAACAATGAAAGTTCTAAAAGGATATGTGAAGAATCCACACCGTCCTGAAGCATCCATTGTGCAAAAATATGTCTCTAAAGAAGTAGCAGAATTTTGCCAAGATTATTTGAACAATGTACAACCTATTGGGTTAAGAAAATATGATGTCAAAGATCGTAGACGTGGAATTTTTGTGAAGACTGCTGATCCTCATGAATTGCAACAAGCACAATTACATATCTTGAATAATGTTGATCAAGTTCAAGACTATATAGATGTGCATAAAGAACTTGTGAGGAAGCAAAACAGTCAAATTAAGATAACTGAGCAAAGATTAATTAGAGAGCATAACAATACTTTTGCAAAGTGGTTTAAGCAGAAGGTTGAAAAGGAAGATTGTGTTTCTGATATTGTTAAGGGGCTGGCACAAGGTCCTGAGTATGATGTTATGCTAGACTGCATTTGATATTAATGGGTATTTGTTCTACACGAAGTCTCTAGATAATAGGAGTAATGTGCAGAATACTGGTGTTATGCTAGTGGCCTCAGGCATGCACTTCTCTAGCTCAAAAGACCAAAATTCTTTATTCACATCCATGCCTTATTACGGGGTTATTGAAGAGATTTGGGAGGTTGACTATATTAAATTTAAAATCCCTATTTTCAAATGTAAGTGAGTTGATGTTAAAAATGGTTTTTATCAAGATAGGATGGGATTTACATTAGTCAACTTGAATACTTTAAGTTTTGGTGATGAACCTTTTATTATGGCAGACCAAGCAAAACAAGTGTTATGTCATGGATCCGAGAAGTGAAACATGGTCAGTAGTTCTTGAAGGAAAAAGAGAGGTTAATGTTGATGAGAAGGATTGTTCAAATTTCAATATTTCTGAGACTCCTTCTTTCTCGATAAGCTTGCCTGTATTCAGTGTAGAAGATGAATTGGATGACGAATATGGCACGAGAGATGATCATCACGAAGGGATATGGGAGAATATTTCTATTTAAAAATATGTTAAAAGTTAGTTATTTATTTACAACATGTATGATTTATTAAATTGGTTATTTATTGTATTTTATTCATATTAGAACATGTTTTATTTATTAGTTATATCACTAATGATTTTTACTTATTGTCTAAATAGGAACATGGAGGATCGGAGTGTTAATCAAGACCAGCCTGACCCTTCTACGCCGATCGTCTCTACCAATGGTGATGACTGTGTGACTGTTAGTCCTCAAACTGTGGGTAGCAGCCAATCTACACGATCTAAGAGGCCTAGAAGTAGCACACGATTAAGAGAGTTAGCTCTAAGTCAGAGCAGAGGTGAGAAGATTTTGATCCAATTTGATAACAATTAGAAGCCAATCGGGCCTAATGGGGCTAAGTTTACTAGTTTTTTAAGCCTCCAAGCTCGTAGCAAGCTAACTATATTGGCACCCACATAGGACGATGTCCTAAAATAAGTGAAGGAATAGATATGGGAAGCCATTAATGTATGAGAAATGTGCTTTTATTACTTGTTATCATTATTTGTTACTGATTATTATGACTATATCACTAACTATTACAATGACATGTATTGTAGGTCACATACAATGTCCCCACAAGTATAGACTTTAAGCATAGATTGATGACCTGGGCCTGTAATTGTTGGAAGGGTTTCAAAACATCACTAGCTAAGAGATTTGTGCATATTGAGGTGCCAGATGGACAGCCATGGCCTAATCCTTATACCCAATACACATTTCTCAATGCAACTACTTTTGAAGAATTCATTAGGCTTTGAACTATGCCAGATGCTCTAGTGAGTTAGATTATTTTAATTTATTTTTTTGTTTATTTTAGTTATATATCATTGTCTTTATTAGATAATGAATATTTTGTAATTCTAATTCATAGAAAAAGAGGAGAAAGGCACAAAAAGTTGGAAGGAAGAACAATTTCCCCCAAATAAAGTCTCATGGCAGTTATGTTTTGGCCGACAAGGAATTGATGGATGCCAAGAGGAGGAAGAGAGAAGAACAAGCTCAATCAGATCCTTCTATTCTACTGTCTCCACCATCTCCAATACACCGTGATGAGAGATAGATTTATGCCCACAAGAAGAAGGACGGGTCCTTTTTAAGTGAGCATGCTTGTAAGGTTGCTTAGAAAATTGTAAGTACAATTGTCATTTGTAATCTTATTTTAAATATCAAATATTACTAATTAATTATTATTTGGATGTTACAGGATGAGCTTAAACAGAAGCAATCCGAGGGATCATTCATCCTAGAGGGAAGAAATGATATCCTGGCTGTTGCTACAGGAAAAGGAGAGCATCATGGACGTGTTCAGGGATTCAGATCAGGGGTGAGTATAACCTCAAAAATGCCATTCTTCAGGACTCGTGACTAGGGAGGAGTTGGATGTGATGTTAGCTCAATCAAGGGCTGAGGCTAAGGCTACTCTTGAAGCTAGGCTACAAAAGATGAAGGAAGAAATGATAATGATGATGAGCTCAATCAAGGAGCCAAGTGGCCCACAAACTCACTCCCCTGCTTGTCATCTGAGTACTAAAGGGAGTAATATCGTTCCACTTCCTTTAGAGGATGACCCTGCTCCAGAGGGTGAACTATACTACTTGTATGTGGAGGATCCAGAAAGATGCTTAGTAGCACATGGTTACATCCACGAGGGGTCAAAATGCCACTTTCAGGAAGTTCAAGAAGATGTTGTCAAGGTCACTGTTAAAGAGGTAAAAATTGATGATGCTTCTGTCCCATTCCCTACTGATGAGATCAAGATAGTGAAAGATGCCAAGGGCACTTTTTGTTTATGGCCAAAAAGACTTGTTGGGAAGCCTCAAGATCCGGTAACAAATTTTATTAATTAATTGTAATGAATTCATTATATTAAGAATGTGTTACTAATTTTTTTATTTAATAGGAAACCCCATCATCCTATAAAGTAGGTCAAAAGCCACAATTGTTCAAGCTAAGTCTATGGGACCGATTTGTATTGATGGCATATAATAGATCATTTCCACCTCATGTTTTAAAGTGAATCCTGATCTTGCTGGATTAAACAACTATGAAATCTTTGTTGAGAATGAGGACCTCTGTTAGATTCTCATTGATACTGACCTAACCATGGCGAACATCCAAATTGGGATGATGTAAGTATCTTCTTGTAAATTTAAATGAAATTAAACAATTCAGCTTTTCAAACTAACTTATTTTCATTTTTGTAGGTTTTTGCATCAATTGCTAGTTTCCTCGGGCAAAGACAAACAATACAGATTTCTTTGCCCACGTTACACTAATAATAAATAGACCACCAAAGAGGCAAAGGAGGCATATATGAACTAGAGGCTCAGTGAAGGCGGAAATGAATGTTATTTTTTCATGTTTCTCAATCTGTAAATAAATATATTTGAATTTATCCATAATGGTATCAAATATTTGCTTAAATGACTTTTTTAGCAGTACACACTGGCAATTGATAGTGTTTTTGATGAAGAGCAATTCTATAATCTTTTTATGCTCTTTGCATCGTAAACTCAATCCGGCAATAAAGAAATCTTACAAGCAGTAATTGTACTTAAGGAGTCTTATAATAAAATTTTTTAGTGATTAAGTTACTAACTATGTCATGTTAATGACAGGACTATAAGGATTGGCCAGCAAGTCTGGTTAGGCAAGGCCCCACATGATGTCAAGGATCCTACATGGATAACACCAAAGGTAATAAGTTATACATGTTTTTATTTTAAGTAATTTTGATGATAGAGCCTTCTTTCAGTATAATTATGACAATGTTGTGTTATTCCATAGAGCCGTCGGCAACTGCCTACTAATTTGTGCAGCTTTTATGTGTTGAGACATGCATACAATATCATCACCGCTAGCTTGACTAAGTTCACTGAGGAGGTAAATGTAATTTTAGATATTATTTATTTTTTCTTCTAATATAATTACTAATTTAATTCCCTTATCCCTAATCTCTTCAAATATTCAATGATCCATCTCCATTTTCGGATTCAGAGATCCATCAAATAAGGCAACATTGGGGACTCTTCATGTTTGATCTTTATAATAATCATCCTTTGGAAGAGTAAACTGTGTAGTTGTAAACATTAGTAAATATAGTTGTGTGTAGGATTACTTAGTTGACAATTTATGTTTTATGTGTTTGGAATTGTACATAAGTTTAAATTCATTTGATTTGAACAATATATGATTGTCTGGCTGGCTGATTGTTATTTAGCTATTATATGTTTGATTAATGCAGGATTTAAATTGCAGCCTATAATGGTTGGGGTAAATGAAAAAAACGGGAGAAATTTTTACTTGAAAAAACAAATATCTACACCGGTTATAGAAATAACTGGTGTAAATATAACATCATTTACGCTGGTCTAACGAATAACCGGTGTAGATAATAATATATCTACACCTGTTATAACAATAACTGGTGTAGATATATAGGTTATCTACACTAGTTTAGGCAATGATCGATGTAGATATATGATTATCTATACCTGTTATATTCAGAACCGTTGTAGATATCAACTTTTAAAAATATTACATATATATTTATAATTAATGTTATCTACACCGAATTTATAACTGGTGTAGATATATCCATTAACTACACTAGTTAAATAACCAGTATAGATAACTTCATGATATCTACACCGGTCTTATCTACATCGGTTACTAAACCGGTGTAGATAAGCTATTTTAACCGGTATAGATTTAACTGTGTGTACTAGTGCTAGAGTTTTTTGATCATTGTTCTTTATATTTGATGACCAAAGCACACATCCAAAAGAGTTTAGAACACGTGCGGATCTACAGAGAGGAAAAAAGATAAAGACAAGCCACAACATTCACTACTATTATCAAAGGACGACAAACGATTATAAAACTAAACCATGAAAAAAGAGATCCTATGCCATAATGATAATGACTTAAGGTTGATCATGCTTTAGAGACTTTATGAATTCTTGCCACGCAATTATCAATGGGCCTTGCATATGGAAGGTACATCACAGGACTCTTAGGATTCAAACATTCAAGCCTGGCAGAACAACCAAGACATTAATTAATTAAATTAAAATGGATTGTTTATACAATTTGTTATAAACTTAACCGAGAATTGACAAGTTAATGAGTTTGAACATACCGATAACTGAGAAGGAAATGATGAAGAAATACAATAATCTCCAACTTTGCAAGCTCATTTCCTGGGCACAGTCTGCTTCCTACTCCAAACGGCATAAACTCAGTTGCTTTTGGCATAAATTTCTGTAACACAAATAAAATAATTGGTTAAAAGATATTGTTGTAAGTGAATGTTACTAGAAATATTTAACTTTAGAATATGAAAATTTTTTTATATATGCAACTTACATCCCATCTGGAAGGATTGAATTCTATGGGATTTGGATAAATCTTAAGATCATAATGAATAGTCCTGAACCAAGCAAGGGCTCTCCATCCTTTTGGAACAAGATAGCCTGCACAATTCCAAAAACAAAAGAATGTCATGCCTTTTTATAAATTAGAATTAGTTTATTTTAGTCATAAAGATTGGAACCAACCATTGATATTCACATCTGATTTTGGTTCTCTGAAGACAGTCAATGAGAAAGTTACTAAACACATGGTTTCATCAATCACCTATATATGCAATGAAGGAAACTAATATAGCACATTATATTTGAAAATGATATAGATAAAGATGATATCAGTCAAAGGTTTATAGAATGGGTTTTCAATTTCAACATAAAAGTGTATGTGTTTGTGTGTGATGGTGTTAGATTGATAGACACCTTAGAAAGGTATTCCATTTGTCAAATTTCTTTAAGTGTCAACCCAATCTATGTCGGATGCCTTCTTCTGATGATTTCTTCTTGCTCAGCCTGCACAAATAATCGATGTATACATTAGCACAAGTTAAAATCCTTCTCTATGAAAAAGAACTTGTAATGTAGGATTCAACTGGAATGTAATTTTAAAATAGCATAGTATTGAACTCAAATTCTCTAAAACTTTATAATATTTTGGAAATAGAGGGCATGGTACCTTAGCCCTTTGGAAACATTTTGGGTGTTGCTGCAAGTAAACTGTTGCCCACATGGTAATATGACCTGAAGACTCATGACTAGCATTCAGATACATTAACATTATATCAATGACTTGTTCATCGTCCAATTTGTTTCCATTTTCATCTTCCGCATTCATAAGACCATCAATCATGTCTCTAGATTTTCTATAATGAACATTTTCCTTCTTTTCTTTTCTTTACTGATTAACAACAGTCTAAAATACAGACACTAGTTTCTTCCTAGCCTGGAAAACCAAAAACCAAATCACACATAATTTCAAGAAAATGCTATAATTTTAAACATGTAGAGTGCAAATGCACATACATCCCTTGAGGGCCTTATGATATGCAAATCCAAGAAGATTAATTTGCATAGCTCGAACCCCAAGATTTAGGGCTGTGTACTCATTTTCAAGATTATGCATCACAGTGTCTCCCTCAGAGCATAAGAAAATATGCATGATGATACAAAAGGTGAATCTTCGTAGCTCAGTGAGAAACTCAATCTCTCCCATCTTGCTCCATTTCTCCAACGATGATATGGCAATGTCTTCAATTTTGGTCAAGTAAAAGGACAAGGCATCCATACCATTGATGGAAGCAGAAGTCAAGCGCCTTAGACGCTTGTGTTCTTCATAAGGGATTAAAATTAATGATTTCTTTCCCATGAGCTCCACTATGGAAGCGGGCCAACCAAGGTCAAATTTGTCATCATCCATTAAAACCTTCTTGCACCCTTCAGGCATTATCACAATAACTGATGGACCCCATGGCACGGGTGACATAGCATTAATGGCAACGAAACTTGAGGATGGTAATCATGAATGGTGACATAGAAGGAGCCCAATACTTCCAATCTAACGTACCTAAAGACCCATTACAACATATTGGAGGTCCAATGATAAGAGCCCGAACTAAAGCCATGAAGCAAGCCTTATTCAGTCTTGTACAAGAAGTTCAAGAGCTTGGAGAATATTAGGGCACTCCTCTCAAGCCCAAAGAAGAGCATCTATACGTGTATAATGTATTTAAGATCCAAACTCATGAAGAATCAAGCCCAAGAGATGCAGACCTTAGCCCAATACAAGGAAGACTACAAGTTGAGCCTCTGTAGCAAGGAAGCATGAAACCCTAGTGAAGAAGTCAAGGGTGGCGTAATTTAAAATCCTTTATGATCCCTTGATTGTCTCCTAAATTATTTCCTATTTTAATGGTCCTTTGATTTGATTTTCTATTTTGAGTCTAGTCAAAGGTTAGAATTAATTATAGTATTAATTTTTAAATTTTGTAATCCCATAATTTTAGGATCACATCTCCTAAATTATGTGGCTGAATATTTTATCATTATTTTATATTATTTCTCCTTTTAGTATTAGGAAATTAGGGTTTTAATTTTAGGAAATATTCTTTTCTATGAGCCTATATAAATTAGGCATGCTCCCTATTGTAAACGGCACAGAAGTTGAATGAAATTATTCATTTTAGAGTTTATAACTCTTGTGAGCCTTAGTGTTCTGTGGTGGCATCCCGTGTGAGAAACAGACGTGATCAAGAGCGTGATTAACTTTTGTGGTGTCTTCGAAAGTTGAGGTTCCTAGAGGCAGGTGCTCTAGAGGATCTTCGCCTTGATCATTATCCTATTGTTTACTTCATACATTTCTTTATTTCCGTCATAAATTTCGTCCCTTTCCTTTTGTTCTTGTGTTTTTGTTGTTTTAGGGTTCTGTCCCTAAACTAGCAAGATTCTGCTTCCGTGTCCCCTATCAATAACACTTGGAAACCCAAACATTAACGCCTTGTATATACCAGTGTCACCGTATCTGCATTATTAAGTTCCAATAATTAGATCAGAAATCATGTTTGTGAGAGAGAGAGAGCGAGAGAGCTTATATATGTATACTAACTTTTTGACAAAGGAGTCAACGTAGGAATCAGGACGACCAAACTTGAAGGCCAAGAGAAAAGACCAAATATTGCCGATGATGGGCAGTCCCATATCCCCCGGAGGTAGAAAGTACTGCTTATCTCCTAATGGACGCTCATTGGATCCACCAATTTACGTTCTTGAGAAGCCATCTCAGCACCATAAGGCCACCAAAGATTGCTACAGCCAGCATCAAGGGGCCCATTTTCAGTGTCTATTCGGGACAGCTATTGTTAGAAGATGTGTAGTTACTAAGAACTGTGGTAGGTTTCTCTTGTTTGTGTTCTCCCTCTATTTATATTAGTCTCTAACAAACTAATTGGTTCTTGTTTTGTTAATTTATAATGTTATCTTCTACTTTAAAATTTTTTTTTACTTTCTTTGATATTAAAAGATATGTCCGTCTCGTGATACACACGTTGACTATGATCTCCTTTTATTAGTTCATTAGGCATGTTTTTTCATGCATTGTACAAAGGTTGATATATGAGATGCATTTCATTGCTTATGAATAGTGTGAGTCAATAAAATTTTAGATTCAATTGGTGTATTAATATTTTATATAACGACATTAAATATGTCTTTGTATTTTTTTTTTTTGGAGCAAATATGTCTTTGTATTACATAGACTTGTATTTATACGAACATACTAATTTAATGATATACATATATATAATATGTTTTTGAGGAATATGAATAAACTCAATTTTTAAGTTCTTATGTATATGTTCATGACCAAAGGCCTAAATGCATGTTCATTAATGTGTTTACCCACCGAAATATGGTCACGTATATACATTTATGAAGAAAGATTTAGTTGCATGTATTCAAATATTTCTCTCTACACTAGTGGACGAATGTTCTCATGGCAAAAATAATCTCCATTTATGCATATCAATTAAGTGTGGGTTGTGAGATCGACTCTATTCAGATGCATTTTTTGACAATGTCCTTGTATTCTTACACGTTTCTCCATTTAATAGAGCTTGACATATGATACGCGCACTATCCATCATTTCCAAAACAACAAAAAACTAATTTTTAAAAGCTACTTTTAACAATGATTAAAAAAGTTGCGACCATAGGTCCACTTTTGATGGCGATAATTAAAAATTACTACCAAAAGTGGACCTCTAGTGGTAACATTATATTGCCATCAAAAGTTACTATCAAAACTTAATTTTTGATTATAACTTTTAGTTGTTATTGTCAAAAGTGAACCTTTGACAACAATTTTTTAACAGTTGCAACAAAATATTTGAAAATATTTTTATAAAAAATAATTTAAAAATGGAAAATAATTTGTACAATTACTTTTAGCGGAAATATTTGTCACTATTAAAAGTAATTTAAAAAAATTAAATATAATTTTAAATTATATGAATAATATATAAAATTATTATTAGAGAAAAATTTCTCATTCAATAGATATTAAAAATTTCTCATTAAAAATGTAAAATTAAATAAAATCATTCAATAGATATTTATGACATGAAATTTCTTATTTTATATATAAAATGATAAAATGATATGTGGGACTAAGAAACAAAAGAAATAATAATAAAAATGTTTTAATTTTAATTATTAAATTATTTTTTTGTATTACACATAATTTTTTTAGACGTATATAATATCTTTGTTAAGAATGATCTTATTAAGTTAGTATTGTAATATGACACAATTAAAATATTGATGGGTAATTGCTTTCAATTATACAAACGTCATGAAATACAAATGGCATTGTAAACTACTTGATACATTGCACACTTGTAAATGACTTGGCGTACACATGATGTTGACTCTGTCTACTGAGTTCTAATGACTTTTTGACAAGGATGTCTTGTAATTCTTCCTTGTGGTTAGGTTTTCACTATTTTTATGAAAAAAGAAGTTACTAATAAGATTTTTATAACATATTCAACACTCATTAATGATTTTCAAAAAAAAAATTCAATGTTAGATTTTTTAAAGATGACAGGCGTAAATTTTTAATATTAGTAAATCTTAAATTTGTCCATCACTACTTCTTTAGATTGAATTTTTTTCTGACATTTACTGTAGATTGAATCTCTGACTCATTTCAATCTACTTAAATTAAATAAATCAACATTTGACCATGATTTATGATGATTATGAAGTTTTAAGATGTTTATATTTCAGGTTCAATGTAGAACTTCCCATGTCATTTTTTTTGGGTGCAGTATTTACAGCCTGATTTATTGATATTATAAGAATATTGTTTACGAAATAATATAAAAATACTCCTAGAAATCATAAGTATGAGAAAAAAAATTTTGGCCGTTATTGTAAATTTCATAAGATTTGGGTCATCATTGGTCATTTGAGAGGTTTGCTCCAGTCCGTTGCCGCGGGTATCAGAAAACCAGCAGTTGTTTTGACTTGGACTACTTTTTGCTTAATTTGTTTGTTTGTTTATTATAAAGCTTTGCGATTTTTTCCCCCTCCGTATTGTATTGGATCCACTTTCTTCTCCCGCCTTGGTCTGTTCAGCTCAAGATTTTGCGAAATTAATTTGTTATTGTTATGCTATGAATGAAGTTTTAAAATATTCGTGATTCCTAATAAAGGTTGACTTTTCTCTATGACCAGCAAGCATATAAAATCGGATAGCATCGTTCCATAATAACTAATATTTTAATTTTTGAAGAGTTCGTGTATGCTTTTATGACCAGCTGAATGCATGAAAATGTAATTGAGGACCATCTCCATGGATAACTTTATTGGTTAATTCAACAAACAACTTCAAATGTTCTTGCGCATGCATTGGGGTGACAAAAGGTGTGAAATTGAATGCATGTTCATTAATATCTTTGCCCAATGAATTATATGCATGGTCATCTATATACATATTGATAACGATGTGATGATACTCTTTCTGTTTTTTTCGGAAATTCTCTCTTACTCCACTCTTTCAAGACCCTTTGTGCAATTATTTAATCTTCTAATTACATCCTGCACATATACACCACATTTCCTTCCAACCTTTTCTCACCACTTCTGCATAACCAGGATGTTTGAGCCATATCTGTTCAAATTTGAAGCTTCTTATTGGAGTTTTAAAAGTCTTATGACATAAATCAATCAGCAACATATTATGATTAGATCCAACGAAAGATGAGAAACATGAGTTCTTGGAAATTTTTCTCTCAATTCAAGATTTACTAGAGCTCTATCAATTCTCTCTTTGGTGTGATCTTCCCCTACTCTCTTATTATTCCAGGTAAATTTTGATCCATATTGAACCCCATATCTGTCAAATTACAATTTGCAATAAGCAACTGAAACCTCATTATTTTCCTCAGATCCACATCTTATACTTGCTCTCTCAACTTTTCTTTTTATGGGTAGAAAACTAACACTGCTTTTTATGAGTTTGTGTATGCCAAATTGCTATAATCATTGTAAAGAGTAAAACTTTCAACGTTTAGGCATAATTCAATGTAACATGTGATTATGCATGCTTAAAAAATAGGGAGTTTTATCGATAGGTTTTTGTATGGTCAAAAGTAAATTTGTTAAATTCCCTAACCATAAAACTTTAATCTCGAAAGGAAATTTAATCTTGAAACTTGTTAGTTTTGCTAGAACTTAATTTTTTAGTCCCTTCCTGAGCTGTGAGAACAATGCTAGAATTCATTAACAAAAAGGATGAAAACAAAGCTCCTAATGATTTCCATATCTCTTATAGATGATGTATTTGATGTAGATACACTTGATGAAATCACCTATATGGGTATAGAGTAAGGTTGTTCCCAGGAGATCATGAAAAACATTTATAGAGATTCATTAAAAATATGCCTGCGCATGGCCTGATATAAGCACATATAGCGATAACATCAAGAATTTAATTTGGAGTGTAAATGTATTAGTAAGACTTTCATCATACAATAAAGAGTTGTTATAGTTCACAGAGGCTATAAGTTTCACTAATAGTGTTGTGTTAAGTTTTAATAGTCCAGCTGGTCTAATTCATAGTCCAAAAGGCGTCATGTCCGAAAAGTATATTACATTCATGTAATTTTGAAATATATGTGGGGTATATTGGAAATCGTGTATATGTATTTCAGAAAGATAAAATTTCTTGTTATTCAAAAAGTCTTGACTATTCATCATCATTCATGAATCAAATTAATTCAATTAATTTAATTAATATGCATACATGATTCATAACATGTACACCTTTATCCTTTGTTTGGATGAGGAGACAAATAGGGAGGAAGAAGGAAAACTAGGAGGGAAAACTCCAAAAAATAGTAAAAAACAAATTCACTATATTTGAAAATTTCTCCTCTTTGTTTTCTCACCTACCCACTTTTCCCTCCATCCAAATCAAGCATCGGAGATTTGTATGATTTGTTTAGAGCGAGTTGTGTGAATTCATTTGTAATAAAGTATGGTTCGTGTAGTGTTTGAAGAGTAGGCATAAATCTTTTTAGTATATGTACAAGATTCATTTCCTCTCCTTTTAAGTGACATAATAAGGATTCTGTTCTCCTCTTTACTTTCTAGATTACTTTATCTTATTCCTATAGTTTATTCCTATATCTCAAAATTCCCTTTTTTTTTTTATGTCTTGAAATTTGGAATGATACACTGCATTTCCTACCAAAGGTGATCCCTATGACTTGTATGTCGAGGATCTAAACAAATATAGAGTAGCACATGATGACTCCACAACTTGGGGCCAACCGTCCGCGACACACAAATATAAGATGACCAACTCAAAGTGGTAGTTGAAAAAATTGTAATTGCAAATGCCCATGTCTCATTCCCCACTGAAGAGGTCAAGACTATTGGTGATGAAGCCTAGAAGACATTTCTCTTGTGGCCAAAGAGGCTTGCAGTGGTGGACCAGTAAGTATCTTTATGCAAAAGTTTTTGATTAATAAGCATCATTGTGATAATTAATAAGTAATTGACTTTTTAATTTTCATGATAGGATTATGAAGACTTATACAAGCTTGCTGATCTGGGAAGCACACCCATGAGGTTAAAGAGCCTACATGGATCACACCAAAGGTAAGAACATACTTGTTTGCTTAAACCAAGCTAGTTAATTATGAAATTTATCTAAGTTAATAATGAAATTTATCTTACTTTGCTAAAGTTGTGTTATTTTACAAACCTATAGACAGCTAAAGGAATCTTAATTACGCGTGCGGCTCTTATATGTCATGCAATGCAAGTTTAATATCATCACACAAGGAATGACTTCATTTACCTAAGAGGCAAAAGTATTTTTTTAAAATTTTTGCACTATTATTCTTCAATTGGAATCAATAACCTAATACTCTAGTTTTTGCACTTTAAAATGTTTTCATCAAGAGAACTTCAACGAGATTCAGTAATGGTGGATGGAGTATTTTTATGGATCTCTATAGTAGTTTGTTTAATAGATTTGAATTTTTATTTTAGTTATTTCTTAGTTGAATTGTTAATTAGTTTAGCTTATTTCAATAGCTAACACTATAAAAAAAATAGCTGATTAGTGTGACGGAATTTTCCATCACTAATCAGTGAAAATTTCGTCACTAAAATGGTTAGTGAGGGAATATTTTCGTTAGTAAAAACACTATCATTAATTTGTTAGCAATGAAATTTGCAATTTCGTCACTAATTAGTGATGGAATAGTGACAAAATTTTTCATTGCAAAATATGGATAAGCTATTTTGACTTTGTGATAGAATGCATTCCATCACTAATCTGTCACAAATTTTCTAACAAAATTATTTCAAACCAAAACATCATTGCCATGTCACTCGATGGACCAATGCCACCTCACCACCATCTCACCGCTATCTCATTTGTCACTATCATGCCAAATATTATTACCCTCAATTGCACCTTGGCCAAGCTCGAACTCGCAATATCACACTCCATAGTACCTTTATGTCCACCTTATTACCAGTTGAACTGAAAGAAATTTTCAATCTTAATTGATAAATTAAATATATAATACTTAACCACACACACATATTAATAAATATATTATTCAAATGATTATTAAATATAGTATTTAAATTTACTTTTTTTTACATTATATTTATTTATTAATATGACAAAATTAATTTATATGTAATAATTATTTCTATTATATTTTATTTTTAAAAAATTATTTTTATATTAAATTTAATATTAAATTGAAAAATATTTTACTATCATTGTATATTATATTATAATTTGTGTCTATATAATATATAATATTTTAAATTTTTAAATTTTATTTTATTTTATTTTATTTTTAAATAAGAATAATTAAGTATGTACTTAAATTATTATTAATAATATTCAAATAATTTAAAATATTAAATTATTTTAAATTATTTATTTATAGCATAATAATAAATTATTAAATAAATTATATATAAATATATATTATAAATAATAAAATTAAATTAAAAATAATTTATGATAAAATTAGGGACAAAATTGTGACAAAAAGATTTGTAACAAAAAATTTTATCACTAAATTAGAATATAATATCCTAAAATTAGTGATGGAATTTTTTATCAGTAAGTTCTGTCAGTAAATTAATTCTTACAGATTAGCAATGGAACATTCCATCACTAATTCACTGTGTTTTGGCAGTGATAATGTTAGAGTTAATTGTTAGAACTTAGCACTTGATTGCATTTGTACATATTTTGGTTTGAATTGGATATGATTTGAATTAGATTTTGAATTAAAAATACTGGGCTGGGCTGGCTGTGTACATATTTTTAATTGTAGGTGATCGATTGTAATTCCCTGTAAAACAGGGGGCGAGGAAACATTCAAACAAAACTTCTGTTTTTTTCAAAAAAAGCCTAACCTGTTTAGAAAGTTGTTTTTTAAACCAGTTTATCGTCACAAGCGCAATCAGTTTACAAAGTCTTTTATTTTTTATTTAATTTGCTTTTACTTGTGGCACTTTCTAAAAGCTGACTTTACAACTAGTTTAGAAATTTTTGAACCCGTTGCATAACTGACTTTAGAAAGTCCACCGCTCATATCTAAACTGGTTTAGAAAGCTTTTTTCTACCAATGTACTTTGTAATCTTGACCCCCCTAATTAAATATATGACAAATAGACTGCAACTTATTGTGAGATTAATGCGTTATTTATATCTTCAATATAACATCTAAAACAAAATATAAAGAATTATGGGGAATAAAAAAGGTACTGATTTTCTCAAGACATAGTTTCAAGATCAGTTTTATATATTATGATAAGCAGCATCAATGACATATAAGAGGTCTCAACGTGGGCTCATAAGCAGCACCCATGACATATGAGAGATTCCAACATGGGGCTTTCCCAGAACATACATATAAAGAGAAATGATGATTAATTCAACACAAAAACAATAAAGACCAAATAACCCCGGCAAATTAAATGCTGTCTTTATTTGGTTATCCCAGCAATCTTATGTTGGGTTTGGACTCTCTTTAGAAAAGCTCAATATTGAAGCCCATTATGAAGCTCATTAACTATTGAGTTGTGCTTTTCTCATCAGCTTAATCACGCTTAGGATATTTTATGAATCTTGGCCACGCAGTTATCAGTAGGCCTTGGATGTGGAAGGTACCTCACATGACTCTTGGGATTGAGACGTTCAAGCCTGCCACACCAATTAACCAAAACACTAATCAATTACATCAGTATCAGTTAATTGCTTGTACAATTATATTATGGAAATTCAAGTCAACCCACTTGATTGAACCATTAAACTATTAAACCATTGTTTTGATTGGTTTAATAAAATGACCAGTTTGATATGGTCCAACTATAGTTTTGACTATTAACACTTGAACCAGTATATTGACCAATTCAATAACCTGTCTGCCTTTTACCTTGTCTATAATTAATTATGGTCTTCACATATATATACAACATAGAACAATTGGCAAGTTCGAGAGTGCGTACGGACCGATAATTGAGAAGGAAGTGATGAAGAAAGACTATGGTTTCCATCTTTGCAAGATCATTTCCTGGACACAATCTACTTCCAGCTCCAAATGGCATAAACTCGAAAGCTTTTGGTGTAAAATTCTACACATGCACAAGCACAAAACAAATTGTGAAGATAATAATTATGAATATACATACAATCTTGAGAGTTATTGTTTGTGTGAGAGGAACTCACATCCCATCTGGAAGGATTGAATTCATAAGGATTTGGATATATCTTAGGATCGAAATGAATTTCCCTGAACCAAACAAGAGCCTTCCATCCTTTAGGGACAAGGTAGCCTGTACGGTTCAAAAATTAAAAAAAAAAATTAACTGTCAATAGAAACCCCAATCTTATGCATATGTTTCATATAATTTAAAGGGATAATGTAATTTTTTTAGTCCCTCAAGTTTGTTTTAATTCTTGATTTAGTCATTCAAGTTTGACTTTTATTAGTTGAGCAGCCTTAAGTTTATTTTGGTTATTGATTTAGTCCTTATTGTTTAAAAAGAAAGTAACACTGTTAAAATTTACTAATATAAAGATAGAATATTGATCATAGCGGCCATATAGATTAATGGAAAGAAACATTATTATTTAATTAAGAAAAAACTCTGAAATTTTAAAAAACAATAGCACAAAACATATATAAACATTTTAAGTCAACAATACTTTACACATTAGATTATTTTAGGAGTTGATTTGTATTTTAAAATTTAAAGAACTTATATGATAATTTAAGAAAGCAAAAATTACTCAATTAATAAAATATTAAGCTTGAGAGATCAAATCAATAAAGACAAACTTGATGGACTAGAAGTTTCATTATCCATAAATTAAAATACCAAAAACCAGATTCAAGTTTCTAGGATTAGAACTAACCATTGATGTTCACATCTGATTTTGCCACTCGAAAGACCATCCATGATAATGTAACCAAGCGGAAGGTTTCATCAATAACCTTTGTATGCAATGTAATACAGAGAGAGAGAGAGAGATCATATTATAATGTCATTGAAATCAAGATATAATATAGCATAAGAGGATGCGAATCTAAAGTTTACGGAACATTTTGCAATTTTAGATCATATGCGTGTGTGTGTGATAGGTTGATACCTTAGAAAGGTATTTCATTTGTCGAATTTCATTGAGCGTCAAGGTAGTCTGTGTTGCTGGCCTTCTTCTAATGATTTCTTCCTGTTCGGCCTATTAAATAATCCATGTATATAATTAGTATTGAGTTCAAGTATCTTTAGAAGAAATTAAAAGTCAATCGCGAATTTATTTTACAACAGGGTAGGTAATTAAACATAAATTATCAACAACTGCATAAGATTCAATAACTATATGGCAAATTATTCATGGTACGTACCTTAGCCTTCTGAAAAACTTCTGGGTATTGTTGAAGGTAAACTGTTGCCCACATAGTAGTATGGCCTGAAGATTCATGACCATTATTCGTATACATTACAATAATGTCAGTTATTTGCTCATCGTCCAATTCCGCATCCATTAGATCATCAATCATGTCTCTGAATTTTCTGTGAACTTTTTCCTTCCTTTCCTTTCTTCGTTGTTCAACAACACTCCGAAATACAGCATCTAGCTTTTTCTTAGCCTGAAAAGTAGAAAACAAAATCATACATAATTTGATCAGTAAAGTTTAATATGGATATATATATATATATATATATATATATTGAGTGAAATTTAATTCTAGAATGGAAAAGTGCTTGTTTACAGCTAGGGTCAATAATTTAGGTGAGCTGGGCTAATTCTTGTTAAGCTTAAAATATCCTAACGTCTAAAAAATCTAATATAACTAAGCCCAGTCCTAATCTCTCATGCTTTCAGGCTGATTTGGACTGGCCTGAATACCTGAAATGTTATATTTTATTTTATTTTATTTTTTATTTTCTATGTAATTTCAATTTTTTAAAAAAATAATATTTTAATTTTTATCTTATTTTTATATTATTTTATTAATAATAAAAAATTTCAGGTACTTGGGCTAAGCTCATTTTGATTGGAGCTTGGTCCAAATTTTTTTAGGTTTATTCAAGCGGCCTCAATAAGCTCGAAATAAGAAAAATCTTTTAAACTCTCAAAACTAGCTGTAAGATTTTTCAGGTTGTTCAGGCTGACTCATTGAGCTTAGGTCAAATTACTACCTTCATTTATAGCAGGAATTGGTATAGGATGTTCACCAAATAGCTAGTAATTTCTCTTTTGTAACCTTTAATCCCATGTGAGATACTCCCTCCATTAAAATGTAAGACATTTTTTGAAGAGTTTAATGTTCAATAATGTAAGGTATTTTTAGTCTTTTGAGGTATAATTAATATTTTTTTTTCAAAAGTGCCCCTATTAATGAATGACTTTATATTTATTGTAGGGTATTTAATAGGAGTAAATATGAAAAGATAGGATTAGTTTAAAATAAGTAACTACTTTATTAGAAAATAAGATTCAGTTAAAAATGCCTTACATTTTTTAATGAAGGGAGTAGTTCTTTCTTTAATTCCCCCTACCCCTTAACATTTGTTAAACCTTATGTATTGTAATTTTTTCTTCTTAATTAATTGATCTTTTTATTTAAAAAGAAAAGAAATGTGCATGTTTACCTTGCGGGCCTTGTGATATGCAAATCCAGGAAGATTGATTTTCATAGCTCTAACACCAAGATTTAGCGCACTGTACTCCTTTCCCAAACTATGCATCACATGTTCTCTCTCTGGGCCTAAGAAAATATGCATGATGATGCGAAACGTGAATCTTCGTAACTCAGTGAGAAGCTCAATCTCTCCCATCTTGCTCCATGTCTCCAAAGAAGATTTGGCAATGTCCTCAATTATTGTCAAGTAAAAAGACAAGGCGTCCATGCCATTGATTGAAGTAGAAGTCAAACGCCTTATACGCTTGTGTTCTTCATAAGGCAATACAATGAATGAGTACTTTCCCATGAGCTCCTCAGTTGAAGCTGGCCAACCAGGCTGAAATTTTTCATCATCCATCAAAACCTTCTTACATGTTTCAGGCTTTGTCACAATAACACTTGGAAACCCAAACATTAACGACTTGTATATGCCAGTGTTTCCGTATCTACATTATTATAAGTTCCAATAATTAGACAAGAAATAACACTAGTGAGAAGAATAAAAGAGAGAGAGAGCTTATATAGATACTAACTTTTTGACAAAGGAGGCAACATAGGAATCAGGATGTTCAGATTTGAAGGCCAAGAGAAAAGACCACATATTGCCAATGATGGGCAAACCCATGTCTCCTGGAGGTAGAGAGTACTGCTTATCACCTAATGGACGCTCATAGATCCACCAATTCACATTCTTGAGAAGCCATCCCAGAACCGCAAGACCACCGAAGATGGCTACAACAAGAATTAATAAGGGACCCATTTCAATAGCTTTTGCCTCGAACTACTATTGGCAGAGGAATTACTTGAGGAAAGTGGTGGATTTGCTCTTGTTTATTTTCTCGCCCCCTATTTTTATTAGTCTCATCAAAATAATTGGTTCTTGTTTTGGTAATTTAATTATAGAGATTATCCTATCTTCTGGGTTCTGACTCATCTCCTATGCAATGTTTTCAAATTTCATTACTTAGTTTTCTAATTTAAATTATTCCAGGGCAGTTTCTAGAACTTTTATGGCCCTGGGGAAAAGAAACAAATTATCTAATGGTGGGTGTAATGTAATGTAACGCATTAATCGTCATATAATGTGTTTTGTTTTTTGAGTTGTAAAATCATTTACCAATATTTTATAGTTAAATGATTCTAATAACATTTCACTTTTAGTAAATAATATATAAGATGCATTTAGTATATTTCGTAATATAATAGATATATATACCTAATAAGGTTTGAGTAATTTGAATTTTGAAAAACTTATCTAAGCTGTAGTACGTAATTGTCATAAGCATTACTCCCTCCGCATCTTCTGTTTTTTTTAGAGACAAATAAGTAGTTCATCAAAATAAGAAAAAATGCAGTTGAAATTGATTGAAATTAATAAATATGTTATAAATAGGATAAATTGGTCTACTGGCTGGGGAAAAAAACTTCTTGATAAGAAAATATGAACTAAATTTTTGAAAATTTGAGACTGTGGCCAATTCATATTGGTGTACAAAAGATTTATTATTGACTTATGCGAGAGATTTATTATTGAAGAATTGAAAATTTATAAAGGTTTATCATTAATATATAACAATATATTAATAACAAATATAATAAACTGATTATAATACAAAATATAATAAATATTAGGTTTTTTTGTTTGGTTTAGTCTTATAACGTGTATTGTATCTACAAAAGCCCCTCATAAATATAAATTTCATTTCAAAACTATCCTCACTGTGATGGACTAGATGGCTTTTAATAATCGATTTAATTAATAAATACTCCATTTTAATAAGGATAAAAAATTAATAAATATTCAAGACAAGAAATTGTTTTTCTTATAAATATAAATCTTCTAAAACTCTCTCATAAAAAAGGACCCCACGTAAAAATCTCAAGTTAAAAAAAATCAAAATAAAAACTTGAACATGGAATATAAACTTGAATCATACATCTATAAGAATTTACTTCTATCAATAAGTCCCCCAAATTTGTGAAAATATACTCAAATTCCATAAGACTAGATTGTAATTAATGTATCATGAAAAATAATACAAATGTCCTTAAATCCTCACTCCTTTAACAAGTACATTGTTTGGCCACTGACGGTCATTGACCAGTCACCGATTGGCATTGACCAATCAAATATAATTTTTTTAAAAAAATATGTTTATTAAATATTAATACTTTAATGTTTACAAGTCAAAAATCATACATTAACAGGTAAACGTTAACAATTTACAAACAAAACTTTATACATTTATAAGCCAACCTTGTAGAATATTAATAATTTAATATCTACAAATTAAAGTTCACAAATTTACAAGTTAGATGTGAAAATTAATAGGTTTAACTTATAAATTAAAACTGTAAAATTTAACTTGTAAATATGCTAAGAAGTTTAATACAAAGATACAAATATTATTTATTATGCATGTAAGAGGTTAAAATCAATATAAATCATATTGATTTTAACCAATCAATTTAACTAGTCATCGGGTAATTAATGAATGACAATTACGGCAACAACACCAACAAATAATTAGAAAACATTATATTTATTTTACAAATCTTCACACATAATTTATAAATTAACTCTTGAAATTTATACATTTTCTAAAAATTTATAACTTAACTAGTGTATTTGTTATTTAATAGCTGAAAATTTTTGAAGGATGACTTGTGAATTTTGGAGGAAGATTTATAAATTATTGCAATATTTTAGTAATTTAATTGATATCAAATTTCTTATAGAATTCTTACAACTAATTTTTGAGGTCTTTTTATGTAATTTATGGGTCAACTAATGATTAAAATTAACTTTTTTAATTAATGACAGGATGCCAAATGCATTATTGTCAAATGTTAAAGGAAAATATTATACCATATATAAGTTTAAAATACCAAATCATCTTGAACAAATAGTTGATAAGTAAAAATACTTTTTAATTAACCCGATATATATAACCTAAAAAATTAGTTGATTGTCTGTTCTTATGAATTGATAATAACATAACACAGTGATAACGTCCATGAATAACTTCGGACTTTTCAAACTGGTTTTGATCAAGCTTCTTCAATCTTCTCTTCTTGTATATAGCAAATTAAAAATTACATTAACAAAAACCAATCACGCTAGAGCTTATAATAATAGTGAAGGGTACAATGCTTCATTGTATTCTTCAAAGGCAAGATAACTTTTTTTGTTTATGGCAATGGTTTATTAATGTTAATGGCTTTCACTAGTACAAAAAAATTGCAATAACTTGTTCAACTCGCATGACTCAATTCATCAACGGCGAGTCGCACATGTTTGTTCGAGTTAACTAAGGGCGGTCTTTCCGAGTTAGGGCTATTACGAGTTTAAAAACGAGTTGAATTGATTTTTTTTTCTTGGCCAAAATGCAAATTCCGCTGGTTTAACAACTAAATGGAAATGTAATTGAAGACCATCTCGACGAATAACTTTATTGGTAAATCCAACAAACAATTTTAATAGTACTTATGAATTTATTGATTGCTAAATGAATGTTCATTGATATTTTTACCCAATGAAAGTAACTCATTTAATAAATAGAGTTGGATGCACATATTCAAATGTTTGGTCAAATTATTTATAACACAAATTAAGGAACATTTCTGCCATCAAAATGGGTTAAACGAAGGTACATTTGCACTATGCATAATAACTTGTATAGTTATACTCCTTTTGTTTTCGAATATATATAGGAGAATTTCAATTAACTTACATAGTTTAGGAAAGTTAGATAATTCTAATAATTATGTCTGAAACTAAAATGTTTGAACTAAAATACCCTTATAATTAATGTTTACTTTTTTCCTCTAATTTAATTATATTATTATCTATTTATGAGGTAAAATTTGAAAAAACAATTAAGTAATGCTTCCTAAAATTTATAGTTTTTTTATAATAAAAAATATATATAAAAGCATGTGGCATTTCCTCTTATATTTAAAAAAAAAATAGTAAATCATTTATAGTCTTTATTTTGTGTGTTAGCAAAAGCTTAAACCATAGTTTTAAACGCAAAGTAAGATTGAAATAAAAATTTTACAATATTTTTCATAGTAATATTTTTTTCACATTTTTTTATTTCCGATGGGTTTTATGTTTTTTATAACCAGAAGAATGGCAATTTAATTTAAGACTATCTCGATGAAAAACTTTATTGGTTAATTTGATAAGCAACTTTAATTGTCATGATTCATGTATTGAAGACACTAAAGGTATATATGAAATGCATGTTAATTATTTTCTATCCTAATTATAATGTTCATGTATATAAATTTATGAAGATGCATGAATTCAAATAATGTATCACCTTTTTGGACTCAAAATAATGTATCGTCTAATTACAACAACTGAAGGCCAATTACGAGAAACTTTAATTGTTCTTATGCATGTACTCCCTCCCTCTCTATATACAAAGTATTTTTTTAAAAGCTTATTTTATCTGTAAATATAAGATGTGATAATAATATTTTTAAATAATTAGATAATTTATCCTTGTTTTGAAAAATGAAATAGATCATTAATTATATATTTTTCATACCACCATCGTGATATTAATTATGATATTATTAGAAGTAAAATTAGAAAATTATTTTATTTTTATGTAAGTTTGACTAAATAACAAACCTTTATTGATATATAAAATTTAATTAAAAATATTTTATATAAAAGGGTGGAGGGAGTATTCATGACTAAATGCATGAAATTAATTGCATGTTCATTAATCTTTTGACCCAATCAAAATGATTCATTTAAGTGCATTTATGAGGATAGAACATCCAATTACGATTTGTTTCCCCAGCATCCAATTACGATTCAGTTTACACAAATGAAGGCACATTAACATTCCAGCAATCAAAAGTGAAATTGTACATTAAAAGTTTATATTTTCAATAAATTTGTATATGGCATCTGGTTGATAATGCGAATAAAATACTATACGTCTACATCCATTCCAATTTATAATATAATTTTTGACAAAATTACACATGTCAATAAAACTCATTAAATATACTTTATAATTTTATTCTTTTAAAAATAAAAATATAAACTTTCAAATTGCTCTTAATTTAATACTCTATTTGTGAAAGAATATTAAAGAAAGATAATATAATGATAAGAGTAATATTAAAAAAGTATCGTTAATAAAATCTTACTTTTTAAAAAAATGTATTATAGTTTGAGACGCTAAAATATCTTATAAGTTAGGACTGAGAGAGTACCAAAAGAAATATTTAAATTTTTATGGATAAGAAAAATATTTAAATTTTATAAAAGATAAATCATCATTATATGTATATATATTTTATAAGATACAAACTCTTAATAATTATAATTTTTATGTATTTGAGCTAATCTTAATTAATAATATAGATTAGTTAAATAGAAAATACTCTATTATTCCAATTTCTCATTTTGTATAATGAAAAAAATGATATGTGTTCTTCTAAAACATTTAACAAGAAAGAAAATAAGATGAAAAATTAACATGAATAATGTAAATATTAAGTATCACTCACCTTTTAACATTAAGAAAATTAATTTAATTATTAATTAATAAAAAAATTATTTCTATAAAGTAAATATACATTTTATTTCAATTTTCATGTTCACTTGTCAGTTTTCAAGTCTGGCTTTTTTTTTTTTTTTTTTTTTGGGTACGTCATGGCGGCCATCACCAGTTCCAGTGCAAAAAGCTTGTCTTCTCTCCGATAGCTAGTGAGCGGAAACATAAGGCAAATGACATTTTTTTATGTCACTTT